AAGTAAGGAAGTTCTAAGTTCGGGTGTTATTAATTTTTTTATTATATGAATTTCAATTATACATATATCTTACACATTGATCGATATTTTCGGTAAAAAGTCAACCATAGGCAAGTACCTAAGGGCTTGAACAGTTTTAGTTTGACTTAGACCATTTTTTGGTCACAAGGTGGTATGCTTTAAACGCATTATTCACGTAAAGTTATACCCCGATACAATCATTGTTGCATTGAATTACATAGTGGAAAGTGAATGATTCAGATGGAGTTTAAAATAGTGTTATATGGCGTGGTTGTAATCCGATTTCGCCCTTTTTCGCACTATAACATAGAAATATGAGAAGAATGTAATGTACCGAATTTGGTTGAAATTGGTTAAGGAGATCCCAAGATATGGTTTTTCACCTAAAAGTGTGTGGTGGCACGCCCACTGTCTAATTTTGAACGCGAATCCTATAGTCATCTAATATCATCCCAGAGATAAAATTTAATGTGTCTGGCGTGTTTAGTGCTTGATTTATCACGCTTTTAGTACTTTTTAACAAAACCATTATCTTATTGTGGAGCTTAGTTATGGCAATTTATTTGTTTTTCTTTAATGGCGTTTTGTGGGCGTGGCAGTAATTCGATTACGCCATCTGCAATAGCAACCTTACTACGGTACCAAGAAACATGTGTACCAAGTTTCATAAAAATATCTCAATTTTTACTCAAGTTACAACTTGCATAGACGGACGGACGGACACACAGTCAAACCCGGGTCAACCCCGTCCCCCCGTCAACTCGTCTCTTCATCCTGATTATTTATATAACGGGTGTGTTTTTTAGAGGTATAGATATTTAAATTGCAATAAAACAACGATGGATTATTCGATTGACATGAATTTTATTTATCCGAAAGATAATCTTGTGGCATTACATTTTAAATATAATATAATTTCTGGCATATGACCGCCACGGCTGGCTCAGATGTAGTCCAATCTCTACGTCCAATTTTCGATGACTTTTTCCGACATTTGTGGCCGTATATAGGCAATAACAAGGCGAATGTTGTCTTCCAAATGGTTAAGCGTTTGTGGCTTATACGCATAGACCAATGACTTTACATAACCCCACAGAAAGTAGTCTAGCGGTGTTAAATCACAAGATCTTGGAGGCCAATTCACAGGTCCAAAACGTGAAATTGCGCCGTCTTGTTGGAACCACAGCTCCTGGACATCATGGTTGTTAAATTCAGAAATGAAAAAGTTAGGAAGCATGGCTCTATACCGATCACCATTTACTGTAACGTTCTGATCATCATCGTTTTTGAAGAAGTACGGCCAAAGGATTCCACCAGCCCATAAAGCGCACCAAACAGTCAGTTTTTTTTGGATGTAACGGTGTTTCGACACACACTTGAGGACTAGCTTCACTCCAAATGTGGCAGTTTTGTTTGTTGATTCATGATGAATTGCCAAACCAAACTGAGAATAAACCACTTGACAGCTGTTAAATCGGTCGCCATCTTGAACAGTAATGCCAACTTAAAGTTCTATACCTCGAAAAAAACACCCGTTATTTTATTCAAACTTTACAATAAAAGTATCCATTTAACTTAACCACAATTTTATGTAAAATAATAATAATAAAGTTTATACAAATTAATAAAAAGATGTAGACGAGAGGAGCGTTGAGAATCCAATTACGCGAAACGATTTTCGAATGCTGGCGATCAGAATCGGAAGTATCGGTGTCCAATAGTTGCCAACGAATTGAAAAAAGTTGCGCGCAGGATCGCTACCTGTCCCGATCCCGTGTTTTACACATCTAAATACATTAGAAGCGAGCATTTACAATAGGCAGATGCTAGTGCCGCTCCTGCCTTGTACTTCTCTCTCTGAAACGCCTTTTCAAATTTGGGTGTAACTTCGAAAATATTCACCGGAACGGTATGAAATTTTGTGTGTGTTCTTAAATATATGTACATTAAGAAAAAAATAAAAATAAAATCGATTTTTTCAAAATGCTAACTGTATGTAACCCCTTAGACCAACTCCATTTATGTTGAGCGTTAAACCATTAATATAATAAGGTATATTAAAATAACGGAAATTATTATATGTAGTATAATATAATTTCACACATTTTCGGCATTAAACTAAAGTATATCCAATATTATACGTTCAGTAAATTTTGCTAAGATATCTTACATATTGGTGGAATAAAATCAGCCGGAAGTTCGAAAATATTTTATTAGTGTAATATTGACCCGATTTTATCCATTTTTGACATTAGTAAATACAGAAACAGATGATCTCTGAGTTTCATTAAGATACCATTACCAATATATGCGGATAAAGTCAGCTGGAAGTTTGAGAATTCTGATATTTGTTATATGGGAGCTAAGATAAGTTTTCACCCGATATTATCCATATTAAGCCCAAAAATACATTGTTATTAGAAAAACTAAATGGGAAGTAGTCGTGGTTGCTGTCCGATTTTGGCCCTATAACATAAGAATGTTAGAATAATATTTCCTACCTAATTGGGTTAAAATCAGTCGAGTAGGTCCCGAGATATGAGTTTTCACCTAAATGTGGGCGCTGCCACGCCCAACGTCCAATTTATTGTTAAGTAGTTTCTAAAAAAACCGTTACATATAATAATTTTAGCACTGTTGGTAGGGGTGCTCAAAAGATTCCCCCTAAGTGAATTAGGTTATAGCTTTAGTGGTTTTAGATGAGTACATTAAACCTATTAGAGGGCGGAACCACGCCCAATTTTAAAATTTGTTTTAAACTGCAGATACCCTTCCTAATTCGTTATACCAAATAACAACCTTTTGTCTTATTGTGGATCTCAGTTATGGCTATTTATTGGTTTTCGAACTCGTTTACTGTACTTTTTTGCCAGTTAACATGTGTACTAAGTTTCATCAAGATATCTCAATTTTTACTCAAGTTACAGCTTGCACAGTCGGGCGGACGGACAGACAGTCACCGGGATTTCAGCTCGTTTCTTAATTCTGATTATTTATTTTACAAATATATATTTGTATACCCCTATATCTTACTTGATTAGTTCTAGGTGATACACACAACCTTCAGATAAACAAAACTATTATATTCTCTAGCAACATGTTGCAAGATCATAAAAATAATAATTTTAAAAGTAATGGCTCTTTGTGTTGATTTAGTTCCAACCGAAGCTCCTTGCAGTGACCATCACTAATCCTTTTAGATTCATCTTAAATCGATCGGGAAAAAAAGATTTATTAATACATAGATAATCACTTCTTGTTCCATCAAGTAGTTTTTCATGTTTAAAAAAGCTTTATAAATTTCATTAAAATCTAGCGAGCAATTTACGAACTCAAGTGGTTTAAAAAACATAGTTTTGAAAAAAACGTTTTTGAAGTTTTACACGACCGCCCGAGAACCGTTTGATAATTGTCGAATAACTCACAAAGTATTTGTCGGGTTTACTTCAAATTCTCAGCGAATATTTCTAATATATTAGACTGACTTCGAAAACGCACAACTGCAAAGTATCGATACAGAATGTCTACAGTGTTTATACATCGTCGGTATACAACCTCAAACAACATTGCACAAATATGCGTTGTATAATTTAACGTTACAGAAAACTTTTACTGCAAAGTTTACTTTCGCAAGATGCTGTTTTGTTTTTGCGAATGTATAAGGATAATAAATGTTAAAATTAAAACCAAATAGTTTAATTATAAGTAATTTCTTCCGTTTCATCGAAAATACAAGCACAGCATCATTAAAATATATAGGAAAATATATTATATTCTAGCCATCATAGGTACATTATTTGCCATAATCTCTGAATTTAATGCAAATTTAGTTTTAAAACAACTAATAAAAAAGCTTTACAATTACACTTCGCAATCGTTGCATATACTTTTACTATTCTATATAGGACTTATACTTTTTTCTATAGGACTCGTAGATTTGCCAGAAATCGAGATAAATGTTCAACCACCCCCCTCCACTTCCTCCGAATTCAGATAAATATAAATTTTTCTTTAATGTTTGTCATTTTATCTTTCGTTTCGGATGGTCTTCAACCTACTATGAATTTCATTATTTTTTTAAAATCATTTTCAAAGGCAGTTTACTTAGAATCTTTTTTGAGAAACCGCCATATTTTCAATAAATTTTATTATGCTTATTCCTTCGAATAATTACTATATTTAACATAAATTTAATGAAATCTGTTTCGTTTTTTAATTTCTGGTGATCCAGTTCAGAGATATAGTGGTCACCGCAAAACGTCTTTTTTGAGAGGAGCTCCGGATATCAGCTGTAGCTCTTTTCCAAATAAATATTTTTACTAGTACTAAGTCTTAAAATATAGTTAGATAGATACCATAATATATGTATAAAGTTTTGGATGAATAAATTTAAAATTTTTCTCGGAAAATTCTGAAAAATTCATTTTTTTCGGCCTTCTAACTGTATATAACCCCTTTAACTAACAACAACTTTGCACTATTTTTTAAACTGCGGGAGACCGATAAAAAAATTCTACCTATTCTGCATTGGGATATGTCAGTGTTGTGTCTTGTAGAGTGGTGTTTTGATGTAGTGGTTGCGTGATTCGAGAGGGGTCGTAGCTTATTAGCAAGCGTTATCGATAATACCGAACTTCAAACTAAAAAGCAGTTCGGTTTTAATCCGTAATAGGAAACATTTTTTATAATAAAAATTTTGAGATACGTGGAAATATTTTAGACACCATAAGCTTAACTCATCCTTTCTAGTCTTTGTAAACTTTAATTTATGGCTGCGGGGTTTTGAAAAATGTCCAGCACTTACTATTTTAAGCAATAAATTACCAATGCTTGCGTTATTTCGGTGGAAATGTGAAATATAATTCTGTGCAACATTCGACTTTAAACCTTAGATTCGCTCATTATACCTATTATTATTATCATGCACATATCACAAATATCTAGTAAATTATTCAAATAACTTATGTCTTTATTTGTAGATTAAACACTGACGCCCGATCTCAAACTCCCTCACCGAATTTGGGTGGAATTAACAAAACCGAGTCTTCTAGAAGTAGTTGTATAACAGATCAGCGGTCACATTTCCAACCTTCTTTTACTGGCCAGCAACTAGATCAATCCACAAGTGAGTATAATATTTTCAAACTTAATTTCTATACGTCCAATGTCCAAAGCGATAAAGAATTCCAATATTAAAATATCAGGAATAAAAATTGTCTTATAGGTTCAAATTAACCACATTGAAATGAGCTATCAACAACCGAGTCAATAAGTAGATTCTGCTATGGTAAAGTGGTCTATTAAATGTTAGTAGTACAACTGCTTTCGCACCGAATGTTAAACAAATTGTTTCCACAAAAATTTATTGATATTCATATAACTTTTTAAATATATATTTTTAAACTATATATCCCACTCCTTACTGTGAGACTTCGTACCTTTCGTATCTTAATTTGTGAGTTATTTAAAGCACTTTGTCCGATTGGTCGGGTACAGTATAAGCCTATTATTATGTGTTATAAATTAATAAATTCTTGACACTATAAAATTCTCAAATATTTTTGCGAAGCACGAGAGGTGTGTAGATTATCTGCTGAGAATTTCATTATATATATTAACGAAATTCATTTTACCCTTAACCGAGATATTAATTAACGAGATTAGTTCGCGAGACAAAGGTCACGAAAAATCATCGTATTTGGATAACTGATTGGCGCAGCCAAGTACGAATAGCTTGATGTAATTGATTAAGAGGTTAACAAAAAGAAAAAGATGCCGTAGCTTATGTGGGATGAAATTCCACACTTGTACTTGGTGTCGCAAAAGCGAGGGTTTAATTTGAGGGTGAAATTCGTCAAATCAATGTTGAATTGCCTGACAGTAAACAGATGAAGTGATATCTGCTATTGTGTATGATAAGTGCGAAATAAGGCCATACTAACGGGCCCTCTTGGATTAATTTGCTATTTAACATAATTTTTGCCTGCGTTTTAGAATAGAATTTCCCGAATTCGGTGTTTAGTATGGTCTGCTAGAGGAGGTTCTCAAAAGTAATAATATATAATTTTTGGTTGCCGGAATTTTAAAATCGAAGGTCGTCAATGCAAAAAGGAGTTCTACGCGAAGAACGTTGCACTCCCCAGTATTGGAACGATCAGGATTACCTTTTTAAAACGCGGCCAAAAGCCGGCAATGCAGAGAGGAGTACTACTCTAAAATACGAAGAATGTCAGATAAAGCAAAGGCAATAGTGTGACTATACCGAGTTCAGGGTTTTTATTCGAAAATTTACCGATATATTATATTTAATCATAAATTCGCACAAAACAAACAAATCAACTTATATCCTTTACTATATGAATTTATGTATGTTTTTTCTAAATAAAATTTTAGTATTAGCTATTTTTTGTTTACCTACTGACATTTGCATGCCTAAATCAATGTGACAATTTACTCTTTATATTTTCTAAACATTTAAAAATCACATGTTTACTACAATACTTTAAATCAGCACCACAATAGCTGTTTGGCCGAGCTTTCTCTCCCGATTACAGAAAGTTATTAAATACTATAAAAAATCTGTATTGTAAGATTTTGTCTTACCCAAGATCAGAACCATCGGGTGGATGGCGTGCATGAAAACATTTTATATTTTGTTGCAAAGCATACCCGGATATCACTTGCCATAGGTCGGGTTATACATATACCATGTGATCATTTCCACCCGGTTAGGCCAATTTAAACTGCGCGCGAGTTAGATGGAGTGTACCGGCGGGAACCAAAAAACCAATTATTCGTTTGTTGTTAATACGATGGCGTAACCCGCGCACATTGAATCGATAAATTTTTTTTTGTTCTAGATTGGTACAACCTTTTTATGATTGTGTGAAGTTTGACCTGAATGTTAATTAGTGTGTGTTTGGCAACTGTTTGTTAACGACAAATCTGGCGAATAAGGTGGCTTAGCGACGACTCTTGTTTCGTGCTTTACCAAAAAGTCTAGCATTGACATACCAAAAAATTAACCAAAATGGTTGAGTTGATCTATAAGAGATGTTGAGATCTTCTGCTAGAGATAGCAGATAGAAATTTACTTTTATCGATTCGGTTGGGGTGCGCAGTTTAAATGAACCTGTCTAGGTGTAATTTGATCCTCAGTGTATACATAAAACAAGAGACATGAAGACAGGTCTGTTTTTTACAGAATATCTGGTGACGTCCAGTGCTGGACATTTAGTTCTTGTCCGTTTGTTCATAAATACTAAACAAAATAAAATACATTTAAAGCACATTGATATTGATATGTATCTCGTATTTCTGCGTAAATCGAATCATCGACGGATGATTAAGAAATGCGACTTAAGTTTTCACCTTTTTGTTTTTGTTGAGTAGCGCGCTCGTAATCGATTTAATTATAACAAGATCCCCAACATGCCTGTAAAAGGAATACGTGAAGCAACATCATAGATTTCAAACACATATTTTATATAATTATTTTAATTAGAAATTTCCTACATTAATTTATAAAAAATACCGCACAACTTAATTTCTATGTTTCAATAAATAAAAAGTTTCATATATTTACATATTTTATAGATTCGATGGATCCAATTCGCGGACCTTCGCCGCTTCAGGCTATATTTGAAAACACGAAAGGACCACTGCCAAATCCTGGACATTTACTTGCAATGAAAAGTCCGTTTTATAGAGGAGAGAGGTCTCCATTGAATATTCCTTTATTCCCTTTGAACGGTCAACGTAGATGGTCTGAAGCCGCTGCAGGAGAAGTAATAGATGAAAATTCAACCGATGCCGAAAATCAAATGAGACGATGGTCTATGCCATGGGAAGCGGTAAAAACGGATCAAAATACAGTAACGTGGTATCAAACTCGAATAATGCCCATAAATAATATCAGCTTACTTAATCACAAAACGCCATGTTCTGATAGAAGCGTATCCAATACACCTGGTATGTTAAAAAATAACATGTAAAATAAATAAAATGTTTATTAAAATCTTTCAATTTTCTCACTTAAGATCTAAATTGGCAATCTTATGCAACAAGCCACGATGGATTGACGGAAGCAATTCAGCTTCTCTCCTGTCGACCTTCAAGACCTCATGCTCAAGTATTACAAGGATACACTACGCAGCACACTAATATTCAAAACATTGAATAATTTATTAGACTTTGGATATAAGATAAAAACATATGCATATGACATTTTTTAATATAGGAATTAGAATCAGATAGATTTGAGTTTCAAACATCAGTGAAAGATAATATCAGAAAATGTAAATGAATATAGAAGAAGCAAATGTTAAATGAAATCTTTTTGAGTACTAATTTGTAATTCCACATGAGGGAAAATATAACTTAGAAAAAGAAAAATACACCACACAATATGCGAAATGCTATAAATAGACACAACGAATATTCCTATATAAAAAACTGCGCATACCTATTTAGATTTATGTTTTCAATTTCTATGATATGACAAATTTATAATTATGAAAAGCCTTTTGAATTAAAAAGGAGGATTACTGGCAAAACCCCAGAATTCATAATAAAATAACCTTTGATATGCAATTTTTCCAACTTTTGTATGTGCATTGCGTAAGCAATATACTTATTAAACAAATGATAATAATAAAACTGTGGCTAAGCGGTCGCGTTTCCATTTATATAGTGGCTTAGGTCGTAGGCGTGAAGGAGTTAAACACAATCCGAATACGAGCATATAAGTTCGAATCTTAAAACCCATGTAAATTAAATTTTATTTAATTTTTTTATTTTATTAATTGGAGTCTAAGCATATCATAATTCAATTTCTTTAATAGGATATTTTACTTCCTGATATAATTAAAATATATCAGGAAAATATGTTCATATGTTTAGGTTTATTGAATATTTCCTTATTATGCGTATTTACACAAATGTGATAATCACATATCCATTCTTAAATACACGTACGCTGATGCTTGCTTCTTCTTGCCCCGCACAAACAATGACTTTTGTATACTTTTTGCTTTTTGCGAGTTGAACGATCGCAGTCAAGGAGGGATTGGGGCGCACTGCTACATAATTATATCAGATATATATTTTATTAATCGAATTTATTTTAAAAACGATTATAAGTATGAATTTATGTGTATTTATATATATATATATAATATATATTATATTACAAAAATAATTCATAAATGCATCAGTATTTTTCAATACAAATTAAGCAACATATTAATATATTATGAGCCCTCACTTGACACGCCTCTGTGCATGGTGGCAAGCCAACGAAATAACGGCGAGTTCACGCGGACATTGTGTTGTTTAAAAAAACCAAATGACGACTTTGTCGACAAATATACATATTTACATACATACAAACGAGCTCGCATACATATTGACGCCAAATTTTGCGCATCTGGCGGAGTTGACAAAATTTGTTTGAATCGACAATGACGGTCGGCTATGTTGTCTCGTTTGTCCTTTTTGCAGTGGTTTGTTATTGAAAGTTGACTTATGCTCTTTTGAAATATTGCGATTACCGATTGGGATGCATTTTCATAACGTCGTATTTAGATAAAATGGGCTAAATCGACAAACTATGAAACAATGATAATAAGTAAACATATAAAAGTACTATATGCAGTGTGCTTAGAATATATAGAAGTAGTTAATGATTTCATATGAATAGCAATTTTATATAAATGTTATAATTTAATGCCATAAATAGTGCATAATATGAAAAAAATTAAAATAATATTTTAAATCGCTAAGAGGTCATGTTGCCAATTCTCCTTTCTGAAGGGAACACCAGACAAATTCTTCAATTTCTGATTTTTAGCAAATGTTGTGAGGAAGCAGTTTGTGAGGCAACATACAAATGCGAGGGGGATGGTAGGATTTTCAGTGATACAAATTGTAAAATTGAAATTTTGCTGATTCTTCAATTATACTGAAGACATAATGTTTAATTTTTTGCGAAAGACATATTGAGGGACATACATATGTACATATGTGTACATATATGCAAATATATTTGGACATGCGAATGAAGGAAGGCAATTTCAAGAATATTCACATATAGACATATGAACCTTTGAAGCAAGTAAACAGCAATAGCTGTTTGAGTTCACAGATTAGACAAAATTACTTGAATATCGTCTGTGGTGCTGCTTGTTTAGCACACTTCCTTATGGCAATGTAAAATATTTTGCCTAAGTTCATATCCTATCATATATTTTTATATACTCTTTTTTTATTTTTATAACTCTTTTTTATTAAATGATATTTTAATTATATTTTCATATTATTTCCCTCATTATTTATATTTTCTTGTCAGAAGTAAATTTCTTTCGTTTTTATTATTTAAATTTTTGTTTATGCGCATACCAAAGAACATCTGTGCATATGTATGTATATACATTTTGCTTATAGAGTGGTGTAGTTCGTTGCGTACCCTGAAAGGTGTGGTGACATTTTATTTTCGAACTTGCACGTTTTCGATGTTCCCTCATCGTAATTAACATTTTAGAACAGGTAACATTTGCTCCTTCTCTATTCATTTACATTCTCTGATAATATGTAGATATTTTGATACCCTACATCTAGCAAAATGTTGCACAGGGTAAAGTAGTTTTCTGCACCTAATGATTGTATGTAACAGCAAAAGCTAATCGAGATAGACATAAAGTTATACAGGTAAATCAAATTATTGACGAGGCGTGCAATAACTTAAGAATGTTGGTATTGCAGATGAGCCACTCCCATAAAATGCGATAATATAAAGTAGTATAACTAAGCCTTAATTGTAATGCAGATTATCAAATATGCGAGGTGCATCTGTGGCTTGGGATAATAACCACACTCACTTTTCATACAAAGGATATGTTGAAAACTACTAAACGTGCGTTAACTCGAAACACGGAGGCGGAGATTTGACAGTAAAAATGGTACAGGTGGGCTGAAATAGAATCGGTACGAAAATTGAGCAATTGGCGTGGCATTCATTCGACTCGACCAATTCCAAAAAAACTTCTTCAAGTCTGCTAAAAATGACAATAGCCCTGCCATAAGTTTTTAGGGCCTCATATACACGCTTGCGCAATTTTGTTCTGAATACTGCAATAGGTTAAACTTCTACTTATCCAGAATAGACCCCGACATACTAAATATATATCCAACATGCAATGAGGCCCCGCATGACTCTAACCACTTCTTTGCATGCCCAGCGAACCCCACTCATTCAACACCCCTCTCCCTATGGTCCGACCCCGTTGAAACAACACGTTTTCTGGGCTTACCGTTAGATGGTTTCGACCATTTACATCGGTCAATATGTAGTGTAGTGTCGAATATATCAGTCGATAAATTATCAATAATGATTTTTGTTATTCTAGTGCAGTTTATGCTTCACATAAAAATTCATACAAACACACTTCTTAAACAGACTCTTATTTAAATGTGTAAGCTCAGTCGGAGTATACATAATATAGTGATTTTCGAATTTCCGGTTGAAGTTATATCGTGTATATTTGTTGGCCAATAAGTTCGATATTGTAATAAAATTAAGTGTACATATTTTTATAAATATAAAGGGGTTTAGCAATGAATATAATCGGAATCGCTATAAACCCTTGGTATATTATATTAAAATATAATGAAAAGTTATTTATGTGAGTTGATTTTGATATAAATATATCGAACTTGAAGCAAAATGTACAAATGAAACTCTGTGAATATATGACCTATAGTATAAGTTAAGATGATGACAATATGATTGGCGGTGTTTCACTCCGGCCCCGGAGTTCTCAAAGAAAGCCGTACTTTCACTAAAGGGCAAAGCAATTTTTTGAACTTATAGTTGGACGGCTGTCCCTAGGATGAGTTAAAATATTCAATTTACAAAGAAGTTTGCAAAGTATTTTAAAAATATTCGTGACTCAGAAGAGCCCGTTAGCCATATGAGCAGCTGGAAATTTTCTGCACGCTTTTATGAGAAACTAAGTTTTTGTCGCGGTGTTATCGTATCCGTAGAATCTTCGGCAACTCTCGAATGGAATATCAACAAAAAATCGAGTCTGTTAAAGAATTGCAGTCTTTGCTACTAAATGTCATAGTTTGCTAATAAATAAATATTATAGGAAAATGTTTTGAGGCAATCAATACAAGATCGCGGAATTTTCTCGACTGCAATTTTTCCGGTAATTAAAAAAATTTTCGTCTTCGGGATCTTTTTCCTACCTGCATAAAGAAGTGGATGAAAATTGCAGTAAAGAAGAAATTGAATTCATTTCTACGTCATACTTGACAGCGTTATCTGTGGAATGAAGAAAAATTCGCCGCAATGGCATAGACGAATTTTCTCATTTATCCAATGAAGCTTTTTACCTCTGACATGTTACGATGCAAATTGAGAAACACGTCTTTCTGCATACTAAAGAAGAAGAATAAGAAGACCGGGACTTATGTTTCCTCGCTCTCTTGTCTCCTCTCTGAACCAATCTGTGCTTCTGATGAAGTTCAACAGTATAAATAGTTTTATGTGCGCAGCTTCCGATACGTCCTCCAGGAACCCTCGACCGATAGTTGTTTATTTTTCTGTACATTCGAATAGAAGATGTTTTACAGTATCCTCTTCTTCTACCTCCTGACAGTTTCAACAATAGTCATTGTAAGGTGCATCTAGCCTGCTGGCATATCTACCAATTAGAGAGTGGAATGTTAGCTCTCCTACTAGAGTTCTTATGTCATTCCTTTTGAATTTTATTAGTCGGTTTGGAGGGCTCATGTTCTATTCTCTCTCTGCTTGGACAGCTCGAGCCCCTCTGTAAATATTATGCGTATGCGGGCGACCGTCTTCTTCTGGATGAAGGTCGATCGCGAATAGAGTTGGAACGGGCGGCAGGACAATTTTTAGAAATTGTAAATAGTTGGGGCTTAGGTGTGGGGGTTGACATACCGACACCGATTGTCCGGGTGAATGGGTCAGCATCAGGTATGTGACACGATTGGGGCCTTGGACGTCGCGCTGTTCGCACCATATATCGTGGTTTATTTGTGGCTTGTGCCACTTATGGTGCCGTAATATGGTGGGAATCAGCGTGAGCGGTCTTGGGCAGTGTTCACATCTTAAAGTGAGGCGATTATCGTACCAGTAGCGTAGAACTATCGTACATGAAACGAAATTATCGTACTTTTAAAAAGAATGACCATAATTACTTTAACTATTGCTAATTTTTGCAGTTTTTCTTGGAGGTGTAATGTCCAAATCAACATCAGTTGGTTTAGTATGATTTGTTTCTTCGGAATCTTCACGTAAAGAACTCATTTTTCACTTTACAGCTACAGAGTGAAAATGATAGTTTATATATAGTTTATAGCCAATGAATTAAAGTTTTCGATTGACATACTTACTCATTAATATAAAAACACAATCATTTAATATAGAAGCATAATCGCGTTGAGCTTCCAGTTACAGTTTTTTTCGAATTACTATTTTAAATCTTGAACGCGAGCACGTTAGCTCAAAACAATAACAAGAATAACAGTCAACATTCGAACACTAAATATGCAAAGTCTGAACATAATCGAAATCAAACCACAATATCGATATTATTTCTTCGTTGAACGAACCAGTAGATGTCGTTGTGAGCAAAAAGACGGAAAAAATATTTGCTAGCAGTAAGAGCCAAGAGCTCGCGCCTTCTACTCTTTTTTCCTATAAAAAAAAAAAATCGCCCAATTGTCTGTGAGGATAGAAATAAGATACATTTTTAATTCATCATAATGAAAATTATCGTACAATCTGCGTACGATAATATCATATCGTACATCGTACGTAGGCATGAAATTATCGCATATGTACGATAATTATCGTACGGTTGCGATCACTGGTCTTGGGTCGCCGACCACTCCTCTCGGTGTAACGTTGCACGTTTGCCTGGATGCGACGCAGGTTTTATTAGTTGCATCCTCTCTTGACCTGATTGTCATACAGCGAGCTGTTGCATTCAGGTAAAGAAGGGTCTTAAGTGTGTCATTGCTGCGGAATGACTGGATTTTTGATGATGACGTGGAGATTTTGTCTGAGTCTGGGTTTTTGGTTGACGGGGCATGGGCCTCTGAATGCATTTTCGCATCAAAGGCACCTTTCTGATAGGTCGGGGTGTTTGTGTGGGGAGCGATGTGAAGACTGGGTTCTCTTGATCGCGGATTGCCCGATGTACTCGGACTTTATGGATCTCGGGGGTAAGGGGATTAGCTGGACTGACGGACGTTTAGATGTTAGCGGTGTGATCTCCACTAGTCGGAATGCCGAACAAATAGAGTCGTTTGCGCGTGAATTGTTTAGGCAGCGAAGGCGTTTAACTGGGAATTAGGGTTAGCTTCTGGTGTGATTGGGTTCAGCCCCTGGTTACCAGTCCAGAGCAGTATGGAAGCTCAACTGGTAGTAGCTTCGGCTACGAGGTATAACTGGATACTTAATTCTGGTACCACGGGGAACAGGGGCCCTTGGAGTTTACTCCAGCCAGCTCATGCGGACTGACCCTTCGTAGAGTATTGAGGTAGTTGTGGTTGACACCCTAATGCGGGAAGAACTGACGTTTTGTCAGTTGAATGTGGAGTTGCATTGCAACCGGGTGCCGAGCCCAAAATACGGCAGAGGTTTTAGATAGGCCTCGAACCCTACCAAAGCGGTTAGTGCGTCCATTCCACACTACCAGTCGATACTGAAAAATTCCTGGCATTTTCATGGCGCTGATCAACGCATTTATTTGATCCGCTGTGCTTTTGAGCTCCGTAAGGTAAGGTTGTCGTCGTTACCCACGTTAAACTCTGTACATGACGGTGGCGGACCCGGATTTCTTAGTAACACCTCCAGCGTCACATTTGTCAGCGCAGCCTGCACCCATTTCCATTGGGCTCTGGGGATTCTTTTTTCGGGATCACCCTCATCCAGCACGCCCATGATAATTCGGTTTCGGGACCCATCGCAAAAGATGTTGCGGGCGTTACACCCGTTGTCTAAGGTCTCTTGGCTGACGGCTTAACCCCTTCAGCTGATCTCTGTCGCTTGGCTGCCTTTACTGGCGGCTCAAACTTGACGTTTGTTATCACTGCTCTCTTGCAGTCAATCGATTTCTGAAGCTCCTTCGTTATCTCTTCTTGGCGGTTGCAACTCCACTTTTCTCAGTAGTTTGCCTTGATCGGGTCTTGAATTTTAAAGACAGGCCACTCTCTGGCAGACGTACTACCAGCAACAGCCCCTTTGACATTTCCATCCTCCTCTTGCTTAGCAGCCAAGCTTTGTCTACAGGGTTTGGATCTGGCTGCCTCTGGTGCTACTACTTTCTTGGAGCCAGCCTTAAATTCTGCCCCTTTACTAGTACTTGCCTTTTCACCAGGACCAAACTTTGCCTGTCCTCATGCTGGATGCTTTCGAGCTCGTACCGAACGCTGCTCTCTTTTGGGAGCAACTATCTCCGGCATTCTTAAAGGAGCTCTGGGCTCCTTTCCATTTGTTAGTTGTATTGTTTTTGATGTTCAGGCTCTTAATAGGTTCCACGAGTGTAGGGGAAAGTACGTCCGCTTGCGCATAGCCCCCGCTACGCAAGTAAGGCTATCTTATTACGGAGGGCGCCAGGTATCCGTAAGTTCTGTTCGAGACTGGGCTATTTAAGGGCCCCCAGTCAGGTTGATCCTCGGCAAGAGTCGGATGACACCTTGATCCAGCCCTTTTTGTACCCCAGACCATAGTAAGGCTCCTTATCTGTATGCTCTGCTATTGAGGAACAACGAACACACAGGTAAGAAGTCTGACCTTAGCTAGATTCCTCACAACTACGGTAGGGGCGGACTGTCTTTGATTACGTCGTGAAACTGTGGTATCTATTACTAGTCGGCACCCCTTGTAAGTACCATATAATTGAAGATTAGAGGATTTTAAACTGTATGTTTAAAAACGTAATCAAATCTTGTTAACTGTCAACTTTGTTGTCGGTATATTTATATATTCCGGTATAATCTGAAAAAATATGTTTGACTGAAAGTCTATGTATGGGCATTATTGATTTTCAAAATCGTACAAAACAAATTGGTTCTACCCAACATAAACAAGAAAACAAATTTAATACAGATGTGATGAAAGCATAAAACACTACGTCTTATTTAATTTATTCTTTAAAAACATATAGTTAGTAAAATTTATAAAGTATTTGAAACATCGTGTAAGAACTTTCCCCTGGGACCGGTTTTTCTCTCGGCGGCCTTGGTGGTATGATCGCTAACTTCATTGTTACCAAGATTTGTTTTGCATATATTAGATTAGTTTTACTATTGTGAATGGTTGAATGACAAATGAAAATGCAAATTTCCTTTTTTTCTTGTATTTTTAAAACTTAAGTCTGTAAATTAAATAAAGTCAATTATAGAAAATATAAATAAAGAGACGAAATAAATAAAGAGAAAAAAGACGCGGAAACAATAATTTATCCACTAAAAAACTATTGCGCATGCGTCAAAAGACGGTGCACCACAAGTGCTGACCGTTTTTTTTTTGAACATCTGGTATAGTTTGTTGGATTCGCTGGAGAGTAACGCTTGACGAATAGAAGGTAGATAAAAATTAGTACGTTCGTCATGAAATTACTAAATTTCTATGCCTTGACTCAGTTTCTAACATTGATCAATATTAACACACTATAAATCAAACAATTACAATTTTAAATAATTTTTTTTTTGCCAATAAATTACTTTATTTTATAAAAACTAAGAAATAAGATTTTACAAATTTAAAAAAAAATTATGATTTTAAAAGTACTGGTTGTTGATCTAGTTCCATCCGAAATTCGTTGCGGTAATCATCACTAATCTATAATAATAATAATAATAATAAAAGGTTTATTAATACATAATTTAGTGCCTGATCGAAGGTTTTTTTGTTTTAATTAACGAAATGATGACCTCATTTTTTTCCACATTTTCGAGGAAAAATCAACAATGTTTATAAAAATTCGAAATTAAAAAATCTTTCGTTTAGGGTCTAGTTTTTCATGTTTTCAAAAAGCTGAATAAATTTCATTGAAATCTACCGAGCGGTTTCAAGCTACTGTGGTCACTAGTTCAAAAAACATAGTTTTATATATATACTTCGAATTTTCAGGATATTTATAAGATATTATACTTCAAGAAAATGCGTGTTTTTTTTTAATCTGACTGCTTCTATCCCCTTATTGCGTCAATAGATAGTGTAAATTATTTAAAATATTTCATAACAAGAAATTTGTAGAAAAATATATTTTTAAAGATCAGTTTCAGTAAATTTTTAATTTAGAAACGTATGTAAATATTTGAATCAGTGAAAAATTAAATAATCGGTTTCCTGATTTTGACATTTCTACATACTATCGAATTTTCCAGTAGGGCTGTGCTCGCTATTCGTCGAATCGTTGAAAAATGATGCGAGACTCTTTGAATCGAGAGAGAGCTGCCAAAACACACATTTTTTATAACATTTGCCAATCATGCCATTGTCGAACGAAAATGGATTGGGTATTATAAAAAAAACTTGGGGGTATTTTGCATTTCGATATTATTTTTAGGTGCTCCGTCCCCGAGTAGGCCTATATAACGCATATACATCCTTATATACTTGTACTTACATTATAAAATTTTTAAAAAATCATATAACATAAAAAAATAGCATATAAAAAGCGTTTTAAATTAAATTAACAAATAAAATTTAGTTGCACGTTATTCAAAAGTATTTGTGTCGTTTCTTGAAATTTCTTTTCGCACTGCTTTTGTTAGCTATTTTTAGCGGGTTTATTTCTGGCATCCCGCCTTTTTTGACATCAGCTGTTCGAAATTCCCTGATTTTAATAATCAGGGAAAGATAATAACAGAAAAATCAGCGAAAATGAGAGTCTCGCATCATGTCATCCTTGGTTTCTTTACATAATGTGCCAATAAGGCAAAGAACCGCTCGAAGTAATGAAAATATTACTGCGTTCAGGCAAGTGTTGCTGTTTGTCGATTCCAAGACGTTCAAGACAACTTGGCGGATTTTGAGAAAGAATTTGGGCTTGCACCCGTATAAAATTGTTCTAACTCAAGAACTGAAGCCAATATATTCATGTGCAGATTCATTAATTTTTTTTCGTGATATAATCATTTATTCACAGAACTTATAAAACACTTATCAAGTTTAAGAAAATTTTAAAATATTGAATACTTTAAAAATTATAGGCCTTTGAACCAAAAATTTAAATTTTTTGTCAATAATTTCATAATAAACTGGGCATAAAAAAGTTTTGAATCAGCCTAAATTTAACTAGATTTTGCATAGAAGTACCAGAATCCATTTTTTTAAAGATAATCTCAAAATTTAAGTCGATCGGATAAAAAATATTAAAGTTATTTGATCGCCAAGTGTAAAAAAGTAGTTTCGAGAAAAACGCGTTCAAAGTTTCACAATACGGTGCGCGCACTCAAATATTCTATACCTGAACCGGAGATAGGCTTATTATACCCGCTTAAAGTGGTTTGAGAAAGTTTTTCACGCTACAAATCAACTTGAAACTTAAGTTATAATGTAGTATGACTCTAAAGCATGATTTAGGCGAGAAAAAACGATTGACTTTTTTGTAGGAAATTAAATTTCCTACAAGTTTGTTATTAACAATTTTTCTGTAGCTAGTGTTGTTTACGAGAAAAATCAAAAAAAAACTCGAATTTCATGGAAAAATTAGGTTGGGGGGACCGTACTACCCCGCAGGTGCAAGTTATAACTTTACCGCAATGGAGACTTTTGTAGAGCGTTCAATTCTGAGGAATACCTAATGACGGGTGAGATAATCCCATCAAATGCCGCTGAGTTATAAAATTAAAAAGAAAAAAAATCAAGTTTTACGTGTATTTTACATGGGAAATCTTTACAGGCCTTGGTCTAGTACTTAATATTAAAATTAAAATACATAATGTACATACATTTATAAAAAGTTTATAGTGAGGAATCAATTTGGTAAGTATGGTTAATATAATATTTTTATAATAGAATATCTTCTATATTATATAAGTTGCGGACAAAACCGGTATGGACATGGTGATAAGTGTTTTTGCGTATCACCTCAATAAGTGAAAAGTGTGTTTAACTCAGTCAATTAGCATAGAAATTACAACCTTATAAGTTTGAGGGATGTAATATATTATATTTCTTAATCCGGAGAAACTCATCTATCCATCCATACCATCAAAATTGATTGCGGCTTTATGTATGTACTTGTGTATTACAAAGCGTTTTTATTGTTATCTTATTTTATCTGTTTGGCCACAATAGTGATAACCAAAGTAATGGCGATTACTTCCCCACGCGTTTAAACGCTCACAAAGATGGCATTAACTTGGTTTGAATCACGGATAATGTGGGCGTGATGACTATATCCAAGTACAGGAACAAAATTAATAATATAAAAAATTATTAATATAAGTTTTTTACAGATTTAGCTTGTATGGGTCACTAGAACCTCGAAGGTTTTCATTGATGATGTGATCAAAGAGTTGAACGAGAGCGGCAATGCGTTATCCCAACTGAAAATCGAGTGGGATAGATAGAGATATTTTCCAATGGTGACTCCAATGTAGGTTGCCTTTAATGTTGGAAATACCAATAACTTACATTGTCTTGCCTCCTCTAGGTTTTACTGCCTTGCAGGGATGTGTCATTGTGGTAGCCAACGATTATCTCTCGAAACAGGCCAATGAGAACGCCGCACTACTTTTCAGTGTTTGCTGAGCTGTTATGCGAAAGCTATTCCACATCAATAAGCACATGTCATGATTAGCAAGGCTGTGTGTTGCATTTTGCTGGTGTGTCGGCATATAACCATTGAGTGTACGGCGTCTAAAGGAAATCATTAATATCACCAAAAACCCAAGAACTTTCTAACAGTATTCCTTACTATTTTTGCAGTGCGAAAGGTAACGGTCAATACTGCTATTTATAAGCAGAGGACTGTCATCTCGGAGGATCATGTCTACAATGAGATGACCGATTTCAACCCAACACGCATTTCGCCATGGTTGCTGCACATCGAATTGAAATATTCCAAGCTTATACTTGTAGCTAAACTGATGTTATATTATTATATATATAATTTAGGCCATATGTCGTCATTATAATAATATATTAGTATGAATAATTTAATCATAGCTGGCCAATATTGTATATTTCTATGTTGAATATGTATATATACTTTATTTATTGGAAATATTATTAAAAATTGTTTCTTTTGGTTCATTTTAGCACAAAATTGAAAGTGGAAGATTTCTTCATATTAACCTAAAATCTTTAGTTTGGTTAAAAAATAAGAATTGATCATTTTGTTTGGTTTCCTTAACATAGGTAATCATTTAATTGGTTACCAAAACAATGTTAAGATAATCAATCAAAATTTTTCGGAAGTTATGGAAGAATGTTAAAATTTCAGTACAATTTTTGACGTTTCCTAACGTGTAGCCAAATTAACTACCGTAGATAACATATCTATATTAACACTCATGTTAAATATTCAACTTTTTTATATGAGTTGTGTACAAACTTGCATGCATTTATTTTTAAGTTATAATGTAGATACTTTACTTTGACAAATATCTACAAAAGCAAATAGTTTTTAATTCTTTTTATTCATTTTAGATATTTGCAAATTTTGATGGAAAGTTCTCAAGCTGAACTTCAATATATATATATACTAAATATACAATAATATTTTAAGTAATTAATTTTGTACTTAATACTAATAGGCAACTTAAATCTTATAATTTAAAATCTAAAATGGTGATATTGATATTGTTTAATTAGGGTACATGTATGTACCTAATATGCGAATATTAACAATTAGTAAATTAATGTAACTATTATTGTACACTATAAAAGTTTAAGTTCAATATTGACTATCTATAAACCATATATACGATTTTTAATAAAAAAACCTACCTACCTACCTAGCGAAAAATATTATTGTAAAGAAAATTTAGTTTGTAATATATATACTTACATACATATATACATGTATAAATGCTAATAACTAAAAGCTAATCTAAAACAATTACGAAAAGTTTGAAAAGTATAAAGAAGAAATGAACCATAATGTATAAACATGTAAATTGAAAAAAAAATTAAATAAATAAAACGAGAATTTCAATAGTTTTATTTATAAGGAAAAATAAGGCAGTGGTAACTAATGAATAGCCAAACAAATATTCCATAGAAACTGACGAAGTAACCGATCAACCAGTTTTCAGTAACCAATGGCTAATCAAACAAATAACTTATAAACCAGTTTTCTGTAATATATATAATAGCAATAACCAAGTAAATTATTTTTAGTAACAGATGGCTAACTTAACAAAAAGCCAATGAAAAGGAGGCTAATAACCAAAGAATAACAGATAGTTTTCCAAAATACTTGGCAAAGTACCATAGAGCAGTATAATATATGTAGTATTAGCGCAAAAGCAATGAAAGAGGGCGAATAAGATAATCACATCGACATGTAGTGAAAGAGGAGAAATACGTTACTTTTTTTCCACGAGGCTAGAACAAAAGTAACATATCGGATAAATAATGTAATAATTACTGTTAATCTAATCAGTAACCAGTTAGCTAACTTTTACCCGTCTTGTAGGGTGAAAACCCGTGTTGTGGTGGCCAACTTGGGCGTTCATACCACCCATCAAAATGACTCTTCACCCTCGATATTCCCTCTATCCTGGCAGAAGCTAGGGGTTTTCACCACGATAGGGTTATACTTACCTTATCGTGCTAAGGAGTTGTAGTGCATATCAAAGAAAAAACAAGCTTAAAAGACGGTTCTTCACAAAGGAACGTCTGAACAAGCCAAAGGGGCTCTTAAGAAGCGTTCTATGGACAAATGAAAGTTCGTTTGAGCAAAATTCAGCTATTTCGCAAGATTGCCACAGGTAATAAGGCTGAAATAAAGGTAAAATATATATAGGGTTATTGGGGAAGAAACAGTTTCTGAGAACATTTAGGAAGAGAACTCTCGAGATTCTTTAAAATTTTTTGCATTCAGTACCGTGTCAACAAGTTAATGCAGCCAAAGGACTTATATATTTTATTAAATTCTTCATTTCTGTATTTTTGTTAAGTTAAAACTTTGTATTCTTAGTATAATATACTTACATATGTCAACACATGAAATTACTAATACATCTTTTTAAGTTTTTATGACATATTATTTAATTGTTGATTTCGAAAGTTGTATTAGTTGAAACAAACTTACAAGAAGTTTTTAAAATTCATTTTAAAGTTAAACAAAAAAAATAACGATTTTTATATCGTCAAAATACTTGTGCTGACTAGTGTGTTCGGTTGCAACATGTTGCGAGAGTATAAAATATATAATCCATTTCGTGCTAAAATTATTTATTTTTAATTTTTAAACAAGTAAAACAAAAAACATTGTTATATCATATAATTTACTTTTTCCAGTCAGTAGCAAAACTGAACATACTTACTTGTATTAAACTATTCAATGCATTATAAAAATATGTATTTAAATTAATATAGCTTTGATTTAATTTTTTCCGATAAGGAGATAAATCACAATACACTTATCTTACAAAATTATGTAAAAACAATCAGTTCAAGATAAGCCCATTAGCCGTCGCATCTATTTGATTTTATAGCAAGTCAGGAATGCACTTCATGATTCGTTAAATAATGGGACCACTGCACGAAGGAAGTTGACTTCGAACTCTTCTTCGGAAAATCTTTCCACTGATGATCTAAAACACATATTACATACATTACACATACATATATATTTTTTTAAATCTAAATTTTTTGAATCTGAAAACTTAAATCTATTTGAACCTAGACAAGCTTAAGGTTGTAGTTGAGACTGTTTGGTGAAACGTTGCTCCTTAGAAGGTTGGTATATCTTTTCTTTTTAAGTGAGTTTGATTACAGGAATTTAGCAAGGCATCTAATGGATTTGGATGGTTCAGAGTTTAAGCTCATAGCTCTTTCTACTGTCCTCTACTTCTTTCTGTATCATAGCAATACCAAGATCTTTGTGAATATTTTCATTGCAAATGTACCAATGTGCGGTGAACCCGTTATTAATTACACAGGTCGTACGCAACAGTTGGATACCATACATCCAAATCGGTGCCGTCCGCAAAAGTCGATGTCAATACATTATTACCAGTTGGAATGTATGTTGTATATACCTTCTGCTCAAATATAAACGAGACTTTATCCATAACTCGACAAGGACATGACATATGGCCATACCTTTTGCTTAGGCTGGCAGGACTGTTATATGTTTACATGTCAAATTTGAGCGCGATCTGTCACATAGTTTTTTTTTCACAGCACTATAAACAAGTCAACCTCGAGTGTGTTTTTTCGAATTTTACTATGGAAATTAACGTTGAGCAAAGAAAGTTTGTTTGAAATTTTGTTATTCCAATGGAATAAGTGCGACGGACGCAATGAAAATGTTGCAGAAAGCATATGGGCAGTCTTGCCTATCACGTGCACGTATTTTTGATTTGTATAAGTCGTTCAAGGACGGCCGTACATCGCTGGAGAACTTGCCCCATGTTCGTCGTCCAGCAACGTCAATAAACGAAGAAAACGTCGAAAAAGTAAAGAAAATTGTGTTGGAAAATCGTCATGTGACTGAAAGAGAGATAGCTAGTGAGCTCAACATATCAAATGGATCCGCTCATAGCATTATTCACGATGTTTTGGGCATGAGACGTGTGTCTGCTCGACTTGTTCCAAAATCCAGCTCATACGTCTCGTCTTGTACGCGATTATTTGACCAAAAACAACGTAAATATTGTTCCGCAAGCACCGTATTCACCCGACATGGCACCGTGTTACTTTTTTCTTTTCCCTAAACTCAAATTCGTGGAAAGCCTTTTCAGTCGATTGAAGTCATAAAAGAGAATTCGAAGAAGGAACTGAAAGCCATACCTAAAGCGGCCTACCAGAAGTGTTATGAAGATTGGAAAAAAAGGTGGCATATGTGTATCGCCTCTAATGGTGACTATTTTGAAGGGGATAAAATAAATATTGAAGAATAATTAACCGTTATTGAGCCAGTCTCGTTTATATTTGAGCAGAAGGTATGATATATAGGGTTGGGCCTAGCACACTCCTCAATGGTTCACCAGCGCTTATCGGTCGTTCATTTGATATAAAATTAACTATTTTAACAGTAAATTTACTACTTTGCTTGAGCTACATCAAGGAGTATTGCTCAACAATACACTCTGTACTCGCATGCTCTTCTAAATTCGTTAGTGATTCTATTAACTTGCTCTATAGTGCCATATTTTGCACGAAACTCGAATTGGTGCGTTGGAATTGTATTATTTTCATGGAGGAAAGGAGACATATTTGATAGTAACACTTTTACAAATATTTTGGAAAGGCAGAGTAGGAGGCTCCTGGGTTTATCTATCATGATGATCTGCGACTTTTTCCATGAATTTGGAAAATATCCAAAATTGAAAATTGCATTAAAAAGTAAGGAGAGCATAACTACAGCAGTATTTAATAGCTCCATTCAAATTTTTTGAGTAATTTTATCGTGTCCTGATTAATTTTTTGGATTTATCTCTTTTATAAAATTTTAATTTTTAAAGTTGAAAGTTGATTGACAAGAGCGACTGGGTAGCAGTGTTGGGCAAAGTTGGCAGCTTAAAGTCGTGTTTTGGACAGTTAGGCTGAAATACCTTCTCTAGGTGGTTTGCGAAGCAAGTTGCCTTTTCCTCTTCATTTCGAGCCCAATTACCACTCACGTCTCTTATAGGCATGTTGGAATCTATCGGTGGCTTAAAGTGTTTTTGTGATTTCCAAAGGGAGTTTTGATTCTTGGTTGAATTAGGGCTTCATTTCCTTCTCTAATTTTCAGTACTATATTCTTTCACGCACTTAAGCGCTTTTCTTAGTTTACATACTGCATCCTTCAATTGCAGCGTATTGTTTGGTGTTGCTGAGACAGCTGATTTAGTTATTATTTCATTAAAGTCGCTTATGCTTTGGTCAATATCTCTTTTTGAGTTTATTCTGTAATCAATATTAATGTGACTACTGATATATATTTTATATTTTTATTAGCACAGGGCAATGATCAGAAGATATATCAGCGGTTATAAGGAATCTATATATGTGTATTTTTAATTACAGAAAAATTAATTAAATCTGGTATTTTGTTTCGACCACTGGACTAGTATGTCAGCTTACCAGGAGATATTATGTCAAGATTATTGCGCCTATTCATAATGATGTAATACAACTGTCTTTTCTTAGGATTAATTAGACGTGAGCCCCAATATATATGCTTTGCATTGTTATCACCACCTGTTTGAAATTATTTCCTAATGATCTAACAAAAAATCTTTTAATAAGCATACAGTCTATAGCCGTTAGATACAGTGCCACATATACGTATAAACGCACTCTTAGTTTTAATTTTGCTAAATTCTCAATTTCTTTGCATTGCACTAATTACAAAAAATTCTCTCTCATATTGTTTGTTAAACTAACGGAAATTCGTATTGAGTGCAAACCCCCACTTTTGTTATTGTTATATTTAAATCTTAACTTAATTTTTAATAAGGCTACATTTATTTAATTTTTAATAATTTATTGGTCCTCCATTTTTATTTACAACCTCAAAAATACGGTTTGGCATCGAGTCCACTAAATTTTGCAGCAGCGTCCGGTCCAAATCTTCCCAAGCCTCCTTAATAGCCAATTTGAGCTCAAGTGTTGTTTTAAAGAGGTGTCCTTGAGCTTTTTGCGCGTAGATTTTTCGCGACATGTGCCCCCAAAGGTTCTCCACTGGATTCAAATCAGGACTGCATGCAGGCCATTTCATAAGAGAGATGTTGTGCTCTTCAAACCATTTCAGAGACTCTTTAGAGACGTGGATGGCAGCGTTATCTTGTTGAAAAATGCTATCTTCATCCATTTTATCTTCCAAAAATGAAATGAGAGCGTCGTCCAACAATTCTGTGTATATTTTTGAGTTCATTTTGGGCGGCACAAAGCAAATTTTTGCTTTTCCTCTCGATGAGAAAGCAGCCCACACCATAACGCTGCCACCACCAAAGTTTCTCTTTGACATACGGACGTCATTGTTACACAAGTCATGTCAGAAACAACTGTACGAGTCTGGACCATCCAGGTTGAACTTTTTCAATACAGGCTTGCACACCGGTTTTTTCCATTTTACGTTAGGTGACATGCGTAAAATGTGTGCAATGTGCCTTGTTGTCACCGGTAAATCCAACTTCTCCTTTATTGGAGTGGAGTTCAAAAAATGTTTTGTGGGCTCTCGATTTGAGTAACCTTCTTTGTGGTACAGGTTGATTTGAACCTTTTCACTGTCGTTTAAGTAACTGCCTTTTGGCATTTTAATAAAACCTTAAAAAAAAATATTATAACAACTTTTTTGAACTTTAATAAACGAAAACTTACCAATCTTCAATTTAATTGAAAAAACTTTTTTTTATTTTTAATCACAAACACGTTGTCGGCTTCTCTAATCAGATGCGTTTAAACGAATATGTGCCTGTTTTTGCTATTTGATTTAAAATGCAACGATTTAAATATAACAACAACAAAAGTGGGGGTTTGCACTCAATACGAATTTCCGTTAGTTTAACAAACAATATGAGAGAGAATTTGTTGTAATTAGTGCAATGCAAAGTAAGAGAGAAGTTAGCAAAATTAAAACTAAGAGTGCGTTTATACGTATATGTGGCACTGTATAAGTCACTAACGCGATTTTTTAAAACCATTGTTATAGGCTGTAGCATCAGATTCTAAAACATGGTGTCCTTATTGAATTCTAACTAGTACTGCTGTTCCAGCATGTGCCTTTTCATCAGGGCGATTTGTAGCATAGAGTCTAAAATCAGTGATAAAAAAATTGTTCTTATTTGGTAGATGTGTTTCCGCAATAACATTACATCTAAATTTTTTTTCATGTAGAAATCTAATAATCTCCAACTTGTGCTGGTTAACACTGTTAGCATTCAATATACAAATATTTAGTTCGCTCATTTTTTACCTAAAAAAGTTTGCAGCGTTTGGTTTTACGCGTTTGGTCCTACCAGGAATGTTAATCATTTGGTTTCGACGTGCTTAATTCCGTGTGAGAACATTGATTTCAGGTCTTTATATACAGGGTATCCCCTATAATTAGCTAAAGACCAGACCTTTTGTGATATAATAGAAGTAGGCGTGATTGTAAGCTCATTTGCACAATGTAACCTAATAATGAATAATGTTATGCACCAAATTTGGTCGAGTAGCTCCTGAGATATATAATATGATTTCGCTGAGAGGTGGGCGGTGCTACGCCCATTTTCTAGTTTTTATACCGATTCATATGAGACTTTTAGGCATATGAGACTTTATATGATGGATAATAATCACATCTGATTATAACAATTTTTATATTATATGAGGAAAAGCTTGACTTGTCAACAAGTTTGGTTGATATAGACTTAGTGATTTGTGGGAAAATGTATTTAAAACATATATATTAGGGGGCGGAGCTACAGATTCCACTGCATACTTCGATTCCTGGCACCAAATTAGAGTCTTGTATCTTAATTTATGAAGAAATGTTGGTACATCATATACATAATTCTGATATATTTTTATCAGAAAATATTAAGAGTGAAGAGTTAAAAAATAAAATGAAACCGTATTTGTTGATATTACAATTACAATTACATTGTTCTTAAATAGTAAGAAAAAGTTATAAAACGCAGATTATATACAATTAAGATTAACCCATTATTTTAGACGATTTCACTTACCTCGCTGCATTTCTAATGGTGTCATTAATTTCATTCGAGTTATATATAATGCTTAAAATGCAATTAGCGTATTCAATAGCGGAAACTGCTAAATATCCATTTTGACTTCCTTCAGACGTCTCGATAATATCTAATAAAGGGCCTCCTGATCGGTGAGCAACCATTATCATACCAGCAGCCATGCATTCAACAACTCCGATTCCAAAGTGTTCATTCCACATTGTATGAATTCCAATTCCTGCTTTTTGATATAATTGCAGAAGATCTTGAAAATTAACGTTAACTTGGAATTCTACTGAGTTTTCAAGTGACAGATGCTTTGCCAAGTCTTGCATATTCTTAAGACGTTCATAATCGCTTTCATTTCGACATGAGCCGACAATGACAAGTTTTACCTTGTTCCATAGATCTTCATTTCTTGATAAAATAGTTCGTAGTTCATACATTGCTTGCAATTGTAATGGATGATCTTTTTCCGGTCGGAATTGACCAATAGATAAAATTAAAATATTATCTGTATTTTCATGGTGTTTCAGCTTTTGAATATTCTTAACTTCGCAGGGCGGGTACACACGATGAGTTTTAAATGGCACACCCCATAAATCGCGGATATGATTTTCAGTCCATGTAGAGTTAACCATGATTGTATCAGAACATTGGCCAACCCAGCTGTAAAGCTAGACACGAAAAAATAATTCTTATGTATAATTTTGATTATAAGTAAGTACGGGCAAAATAGAATTACGGTTGTATTTATGTTATACTACTCATGTTATAAATATATAAATAAAGCTTTGGTCAAAGTAAATACTCTTAATAAATATGATAACTTCAATTACAGGTTGAATCGTGCTACAAAAATCAACCGGAAAAATTTTTTTTCTGTGTGAGTAATCGACTTCTTTTTTTCTGGTAAGTTATTATTTAAATTTTTTAAAAATGAATGCTTGGAATACCGAAAAGAGGGTTTGGATAGTGCGCGCTACCGTGCTTTGCAGTCCGTCATTTCCGCCCAAAGGGAATACCGACAAGATTTTGGCGGCACTCCCCCGAGTGGATGGACCATTAAGAGGTTGGTGAACATGTTTGCCAAATCTGAAGGTATCACAAAACCGTAACATCAAGATCCGTATGTTCGTGTTTAAGAAACAATCGCGGCTGTTGCAACATCAATTCAGGCAAATCAAAAAGTTTGGACTCGCAACTTATCAGCGCAACTTGGAGTTAGCAGACGGTTACAACGGGTAATTCATGATGACCTAAACCTGTTTCTGTACAAAGTTCAAATAACAAGCCGGTTTAGTCCTGTAGATCTGCCTATATGCCTGGAATTTTTTCAAAAAATTATTGATATGACCGAAAAAGACAATAACTAGATAAACTGCCTGTTTATGTCTGATGAGGCCCATTTTGATCTAAACATAACTGTAACAAGTAATAAAAATATTTAATTAATTTAAAAAAATATGAGGTGTCATGACGTCAGATATTATTGGTTTGACGTTCGAAAAAGAAATTGTATCGGTTTTGGGAGTCACGGAAACCAATTTCATCGAGTTTGTAATCAGAAACAAAGGAAGAGGATAGTCGCCGACAGATTTGATTTGTAAGTTAAGAAAAGAATTTATATTATTGTTACTATTTAATTTATCGTTACTTCTATAGGGGAAAACATAAGAATAAAACACAAAATGTCATAATTATAGAGTTTATGGAAAAACACTAGATATTTTAAAAGGAAACGTAATAAACTTAATTTAACAACCAACTGCATCTTTATTCAGATGATAATGTGATATAAATCTGAAAAGTAAGCATGTATGTATGTTTGTACAAGTAAATGCAAGCCAAATTTCACATGCGACTCCCCTGGTGCATCAGGTGAATTACTGTGATTTTTTAATATCTTCCTTTTAATTTTTTCGTTGCTTTTTTCTTCCAATAAAATAAAAGCTAAAATAGTGGAACTCATTGTAAACTTAAGTAGACTTTATTCGAACTTCAAATTTATCAAACGCTTCCAAATTCATTAATTTGCAGGTTTTGTCACAATAGTAAACAGCTGATTCGAATATTGGTTTTGCATATGTTCGTAAAAACGAAAAACAACCAGATTCTGTAACACCATTGAGAATCAGAATTGGTTTACAATCTACGCAAATCTGTCTTGGATTCCACAACACCCTTGACTGTTTCGTGCGTAGTTTCACCAAGGTGTATCGTCGGACCGTACTTCTTTGAAGAAAACGGTGTAACAGTAACTGTCAATGGGCACCATTATTTACAGATGTTGAATAAGTTTTTTTAACAAGAACTGCGCCGAAGACGCCAGAATTCGATTACGCTCTTCTACGAACTTGTCCTTACGTCTTCGCAAGTGAACATGTGTACCAAGTTTCATCAAGATTTCTTAATTTTTACTCAAGTTACAACTTGCACGGTCAGACTGGCGGACAGACAGTCTCGTCATCCTGATCACTTATATATGTATTGTTTGAGGTCAATTAATTCAGGACAAAGTAAAGAATTTATCTATTACACAAAAGCGAAGTTCTAGTCAGGGGTTGCCAGACGTTATTATTTTATAATAGGGGATATGCAGTGTTGCCAGTGATATTATTATTCTCAACACTCCTTCTCAAAGCTGCATGTCTAACTTTACAAACTCAAACTAAAAATAAACATATTCAATGCAATCCCATCTTACTAACAAATTTAAAATGTTTAACCTTACACAAATTTTTAGTTAGTACATCTGAAATCATACTTTCCGTTGGTACATACTCGATTTCAATTTTCTTATTCTTGTACAAATCTCTTATATGATGATGCCCAATGTCTATGTGCTTACTACGCGCATGAAATTTGGAGTTCTTTGCAAGGCTCAGAGCGCTCTGGTTGTCGCTGTATATCTTCACTGCCGGGACATCGCCGAAACCCATTTCATTAACAAGTTTCGTAATATACGACGCTTCTTTAACTGCTGACGAAAGCGCCACATATTCCGCCTCCGTAGTACTCAGTGCCACGACCGATTGCTTCTTGGACTCCCAAGCAAATGCAGCACCTACAGCGAAGAAGGACCAGCCACTAAAGGACTTCCGATCACCGATTCCAAGCTTCGTTACGGAATGTAGGATATCTGGCCGGGTTGTCATCGCCAGATACATCAGTGAACCAATCAATGACTGATACGCCTTTTGGTTGACCCGTTGGCAGCTTTCTTCGTTACATTTTTCTTGAAAGCCTGCTTCCAATGGTAACGCGTTCGCCTTACAGTTCTGCATACCGTACTCATTGAGAAGACTTTCAATAAACTGTTTGTGGCCAATATGGATACTGCCAAGCTCACCATCGCGCTCGATTTCCATACCCAGGAAATGTTTCAGAACGCAGCCGTCGACCACATCAAATGCGCCAGATACAAGCGCCTTCACGTTGTTCAGTTCTTGTTTGTTCGAACTCGCCACTATCAGGTCGTCAACGTATACGACAATAATAGTGAAGTTATTTCGAACCTTTCGTGTATATATGCAGGGTTCACTAACGCAAGGAACAAAGCCAACTCCTTGAAGCACCTCGTCCAGCTTCTCGTTCCAGATACGGCCGCTTTGTTTGAGACCGTACAATGACTTGTGTAACTTCAACACGCGCTCAGGATAGCTCTTATCCACAAACCCTTCCGGTTGCTTCACATATACCACATCTGTAAGCTCGCTATTCAGATACGCGGACGCCACGTCCATCTGATGCATGTACATCTTGTACTCAACAGCCAGGGCTATCACCATCCTTATTGATGAATAACGTGCAACAGGAGAAAATGTTTCATTGTAATTAATGCCAAAACTTTGAGCGCAACCCTTTGCAACCAACCGGGATTTGAATCGCTCCACTTTCCCCAAGTGATCTCTCTTCACAGCAAAAACCCATTTGCAGCCAATCAGCTTTTCACCTTTAGGTAGCTCTTCCAATGACCATGTATTGTTGGCACGCAGCGAGTCAATCTCCTTCTGTATCAAATCTCTCCATTCCTTAGCCTGCGCCGTGCCCAACGCCTCGTTGACTGTATTTGGCACCTGAATGTCATCGGCAGCTATGACATTCACCACGTTGTATTGTTTACGTGGCCGTCCAGGTCGACCAGTATATAGATTTTTAGGTCGCCCTGGGCCTCTCTTACGGCTTTCTTGATTGTTGTCGTCGGTTTCTTCTGCTACTCCCTCAGTTTCATTGTCATGGCTTTCTTCAGTGGCCACAGCTTCTCTAGCAGGATTCACCTTATCTGCCACAAAGTCATCAAACTGCAGATCAACCGCGTCACACGCTGACTGGTCTTGAAGTTCAGCTAGTTTCACATCAGCAACGTTTGCGGCTCCCTTGCTGCCATGTTTTACCAAGTCATCTTCTAGGAATATGACATCTCTAGCATCAATAATCGTTTGCTTTTCAAGGTTGTGAAAACGATACGCCTTCGCAGTCTCGGAGTATCCGACCAACATGTATTCAACACCTTTTGGTTTGAACTTCTTCCGGTGAGTTTTATCCAGTACAATCGCCCTCGCGCCAAACACTCTTAGGTGAGATACCGACGGCTTCTTGCCCGACCACGCCTCGTACGGCGTCACTGCAGGCAACGTTGACGTCTCAGATCGATTTCGCAGATAGGCAGCCGTATTAATAGCCTCTGCCCAAAACATCTCGTCAACAGACGCATGAACTAACATGATCCGTGCCATCTCCACCAATGTTCTATTGGCACGCTCTGCCACACCATTTTGCTGGGGAGTGTAGGGAACAGTTAGTTGCCGTTCTATGCCATTACTCACCAAAAAACTGCAAAAATTTCTCACTGACATACTCTCGGCCGTGGTCGCTTCTTATTGATTTAATCTTCATTCCAGTCTGTGTCTCGGCAAATACCTTAAACTGTTTAAATTTAACAAATATTTCGTCTCTTGTCTTTAAGAAACACACAGACACATAGCGCGTTTTATCGTCTATAAATGTCGCAAAATACCGTGCACCGCCAATGGAGGGCTTATTCATTGGCCCACAAATGTCAGTGTGCACCAGGTCAAGAATGTCCGCAGACCAATTCTCTGATCTTTTACCGAATTGCTTTTCGCAAATCTTACATTTTGCACATGTTTCACACACATGTTCTTTTATATCAAAACTCATGTTTGCATCCAAGCCGAACACCATGCCATTTTTGCCATCTTTTGTAAACTCGTGTAGTTCAGGTGACCGAACCGATTGTGCCATTTTTCCATTTGCGCTCTTATAGGCTGCGACACAAAACACTTTTTTATTTCGTTTTTAAATATATACAGCCCGTTTCTATTTTGTGCTTTTAACAAGACTTCATGTCTGTCCATTAATCTCGCTTCATTGTTTTCAAATATTACTTTAAGTCCATTTTTGTTGGCTTTCGCGACAGACATAAAATTGCACTGCAGTTCTTTCACGTACAACACGTCGATCAAATCAAAAGATCGCTTGCGCCAATACAAGCGCACAGTACCACGACCTTCCGCACAAATAGAATTATTACCAGCTAGCATTATTTTTTCTTTATGCTCATAAAATTCTATAAACATCGAGCGAGCACAACACAAGTGGGCGGTTGCACCACTATCCAAACACCACATTTCTTTTGCTAGCTCATTATTCGTAGCCACAGTCAATACAGTGAAATTTGTTTTCTTTACGGACTTATCTTCTTCTGGTTTAGTCGACTTCTCTTTCACTTTACAATTTGCGGCAATGTGACCGCGACGACAACACGACCAACAAGTGACATTCGATTTCCCTCTCTGTTGTGTGTTTGAAGAACCGTTTGACTTGCTTGACTGTTTATCCGTGCGAGCTGCAAATATTTTCTGCTCACTTCTCTCTGTGTATTCATCACATGCCTTCCTTCTTTCGCCTTCTTCAAGCAATTTGAGTTTCAGTGCACTAACACTAGGCAAGACATCACGCGATTCGATGGCAACAACAAAGTTCTCGAATGAGTCATTTAAACTTGACAACAAAATGATCGCTAGTATTTCATCAGGAACCGTTAACTCTATTTCTTGCAGTTTTTCAACTATATCGGAAAAACTATTCACATGCGTTCCAATGCTATCATTTGCACTCATTTTCAAATATAACAATTGTTTAAACAAATTAATACGACGAGCGGGGCCTTTTGGCGTATGTATTTCCTTTAATTTGTTCCACGCTTCCAACGCTCTTTTACATTGCTTCACATTATTTATTTGTGACGGCTTTATGCACAGCATGATGCTTGCAAGCGCTTTCTCCTCTTTTGCGTCGAACTGTGCATTTTGTTCTTCGCTCCCATTTTCGCTTTTTGTTAAGTGACCACATACAACTGGCCATAGTTCAGTATGTATCAAAACGCTTTTCATTTGAGTAGCCCATGCACTATAATTGTCATCGTCTAGCTTTTCTATGGCGAACATTCCCGAATTCATCTTAAGCATCACTTGATCAGAAAGTCCAGAATAATCGCGCACGAACATTTCACTTTCACAAGATTTGATATATGTACATGCGTGTCCAGAAATTCCAGAATATTCTCCCGATGAATTATTCAATTTCACAAGCACTCTTTTTTACACGTGAATGGGCCCATAACCTGTTTGAGGTCAATTAATTCAGGACAAAGTAAAGAATTTATCTATTACACAAAAGCGAAGTTCTAGTCAGGGGTTGCCAGACGTTATTAATTTATAATAGGGGACATGCAGCGTTGCCAGTGATATTATTATTCTCAACATGTATAACTCTATTTCTATCTCGATTAGTTTTAGGTATAAATAACTCCATAGTCCTTTAGTTTAAGGTGTTACAAACAACCAGTGAACAAAACTAAATATTTTTTTGATCTTATACACTTATATAATATATAAGCATTTATCATACAAACCTTAGCGAAGACCCAATAGTATATAACTTTCAGCCATGTAATGAATGGATTTCTAACAACATATGCTTGATTATTGTGGCAATACTCCCGTTGTTGAACACGCCGCAGCATATCCACGCTTATTGTAGGATAGTGCACATAACATCCAACTTTGCAGCCACCAATATAACGGAACAACGGCAAAGTAAAAGAATATCCTGTTGTGTCTATATAAATATCGGGGGGGAATTTGCAAAGTGCCTCTAAACCTAAAATAAGTGATCCAAGACTTTGGCCCAATAACGTAAAATACGGATACAACTTCTCTTCGACTAACATTCGACGTTTTAAGTACACAAAACTTGTATTTTGTTCGTCGACATTTATGTTGAAAGTACCTTGTGCCTTTTTTAAAATGCTGTTTGGTGAACTGTCGATATCTCCTGTGTATATCACAATTTTGATATTGTCATATTTAGCCTAAAATCATAGATACAAAAATTTTAATTGAAAGATTTTACACATACTATTAGAGAAAAAAAAACAATTAAATAAAAAATGCTAAACGTGCATGAAATATTTCGTATATAAAACATTTATACATATTTAATACAAAACCACATGAAAACGCACTCATTGGACTTTTTTAAGAAATCTATCATATTGGCATATTGATATATATTGCATTGTTCCGAAAATACTGCGTTAAGATTGTTATAAATTAGTGTCATATCGTATTTTAATTTTTTAATTAATAAGCGAAAAATAGTTAAAGTTATAATTTAGGTCCCTCAACGAAACAGGCTGCGAAAATTATAATTTTTTATAACCGTCTTATTTTGACGCGAAGATTACAAATCCGCGAGCGGAAAGCCGATTTTTTCAATAACTCTATTTTTATTTAAAAAAAAACGAATTTTTACAAAAAAAAAATAAAGGGGAAACTTTAATTTACTATCCCACGATTTCAGGGTTAAGAGGGGTATGGTTGGATAGAGGAGATTCTTCAGATAAAGAATATATATAATTATAGCCGGAAACTTAAAATTTTCAAAATATTTGCATTTAAAGTTGAACATATTATCTTACAATTTCTCGATTTACAGTTAATTTTTACTTACACTTCAATACAATGTTTCTACATATTTATTTTATATTAATTATTTTAATATTTGCTTCAAATAAGCATTTTATTCTTACACAATTTTCGTTATATATGCACAAATGTGTTCCATGTTGACAGATAAGAAGTGTTGCCATATCCAAACGAATGAAAGCCATCAAAATAAATAAAAAACCCAATAACCCAGTACAAAATTAACTTATATGCACAATATTTACCAATTCAATGACAAAACGGACAAAAAAAGAAACGGTACTTTGTTTAGTTGTAACAATATCCGTTATAGAAAATGAAGTTTAAAGAGAGTGATATATCCTCTTTAACATTACTTTTTTTTGGTTAGATTTCTTATTTGTATTGGCGGCCTTAGGCCGCGCTTCAATAAAATAACCCTGGGCAATCCAACACCGGGATGGACGTTTCGCGTCCTACTTCTTTCTGCATTGGCGGCCTAAGGCTTTCGGATAGAGGAGATTCTTCAGATCAAGAATATAAATAATTATAGCCGCCGAAAATTTATAGTATTCGAGCTATTTGCATTTTAATTTGAAAATTTTACAAATTTTATCATGCAATTTCTCGATTTATAGTTAACTTTTATTTTATAGGGTCGGGCGAATAGATGAGATACTCCAGATCAAGAAAGCTATAGATATAGCCGCGGGAAACTTATAGTTTTCGAGATATTTACGTTTAAAGTTGAAAATTTCAACTATTTAAAGTACGTTTTTTACGATTTAAAATGAATTATACACTTATATTTTTCACTTTTATATCCACTAACACTTGACTAATTCGTTTTTAGAAATTTTTTTATATTAGATGCTTAAAAATAGCTTTATACCAATATTTAAATCATTCTTCAATTTTATTAATTTTGACAATAACAAAATGATTGTGAATGTCAAAACACCAGTGTTGCCATACTAATATATTTTGTAAACGAAGAAAAATAAAATAAACAGAGAGATTGTACCCTAGATACAGGAAACAACGCAAAAAGAAGTTCTGCGCCAAAAATATTTTGATACAACCCGGTGTTGGACCAATCAGGGTTATTTTTTTTGAAGCGCGGCCGAAGGCCTCCAACGCAAAAAGAAGTTCTACAAAAAAAGTAATATTGTCATAGAGGGTATAACATAATACTTAACATCAATGCTTTGTAATAGTTTATTTCTCTAGGTTTTCGATTCCTGTATTTGGGGTATTATCTGTTTTAATTTCTTTCAGTTCAATTACAAAAGATGTCGATAAGGACAAGGACAACACTGGTTATTTGAAATTTTGCAGCCCTTTTGTTATTGTCAGAATTAATAGAATTTAACAATAATTTAATTATTGAATTAAACTATTTTTGCACTATATAATGTAAAATAAATGTGTACAAACGAATTAGTGAAGTGTTAGTTAATATAAGAGTGGAAAATATAAGTGTATAATTCATTTTAAATCGAAAAAATGCGTACTTTAAATAGTCGAAATTTTGAACTTTAAACCCAAATATCTCGAAAACTATAGGTTTCCCGCGGCTATATCTATATATATTATATATTCTTAATCTGGAGGATCTCCTCTATCCACCCATACCCATTTTATCCCCGAAAGCCTGAGACGTTATACTAAAGTTTTCCCATTTTATATTACGCACTCATTATAATCTATACTAATATTATAAATGCGAAAGTCCGTTTGTTTGTTAAGCTTTCACGCAAAAACTACTTAACAGATCATCATGAAATTTTGTACATATACTCTTAGAGGTGTCAGAATGAACATAGGATACTTTTTATTACAAAATTTATAAATTTTTTAAGGATTATTAAAAAAATAATTTTAGAAGATTATATATGTTTGGAAAATATATTTGAAAATTTTGAAATTGAAAAAACAAAGTTTGGCAGAAATGATTGTTTGTCGAAAAAATTAAAAATGAAAGAAAACATAAATGTATAAAAAACGTAAATCAGAGAAATAACACAAATATTATTAGTTACTCTTATTAAATATAAAAATGCTCCGAAAGCGGAAATCGGCGCTGTCAAGAAATTCTACGCCGGTGCGTAAGGCTAAAGTTACACGAAATAAAGAATGTGAAGTTCAAGCAGAGCTGAGAAGGCAACAGCAAGCAGATCGACAACGTGTTTTGAGAGCAGCTGAAACTTCTCATCAGGCACGAGTTCGTTCGAAAAGACAAGCTTAGCAGCAGGAAGCTAGAAGAGCAACGGAAACGCAAGAACAATTGCAGGCAAGAAGAATTAATGATGCAGAAGTAAGAACCACGCGTCGTCGTAATTTCATAACTAAGAATTGGAATATATATAAAATATATTCTTTATATGGATCCATATCTACTATAATGATATCAGTTATTTATTTGATAGATTCGATGCGAGCGAAGCCGCGGGTAAAAGCTAGTATATATATATATATATATATATATTATTTTCATATTTGCTTTAAATAAGCATTTAATTTTTTACACAATTTTCGTTATATGCACAAAAAAAATGGGTTCCATGTTGACAAATAATAAGTCAAAATAATATAAATCGAGAAATTGCAAAATGAAATTTGTCAATTTTCAACTTAATATTCAAATATCTCGAAAACTTCAAGCTTTCGGCGGCTATAATTATATATATTCTTGATCTGAAGAATCTCCTCTATCCAACCATAATTTTAACCCTCAAATCGTGGGATGGTATACTCAAGGCGACTTAAATTTTCTTACCTGTAAGGCCCGAACAGCACACCATAGGACTCTCTCTCCACCTCCTCCAGCATTACAGTATGGATGAAAAAATGCAATGTTCACAGTACCTTCAAAGGACCCATTTAGTTTTTTTTTGGAGCTAAACACCCAATTGCGGAGAGTTAGTACAGATATGACAAATAATGCCAAAACCGACAATAGTATTCCAAATCTACGCAAATATTATAAACTTAATATAAATTCGTGCATATTATTTTATCCCCTTACCTACATTATTGAAATCATTGTTTTAATTACATCAAATAACAATATATTAAAAAACACGTCAGCTTTCAAAGGAAATCGTACCAATGGAGCTTACAAAACATACAATACCCTACTCTTTAATTATTTGTTACCTAAATGCCAGTTTACACACGGACTCTTTTGTCGGCCACACCACTTATTTGAAGGAGAGGGGACGACGAGAATAGATGAACGGACCGTTCCGCTCGTACTCGTGGTGGAACGCACTGTGTTCATGTTCGTAACAGTTCGCTGCTACGCCATACAGCATTCCTTTTCATTTTGAAATTATTTTCAAGGCTGCAAAAGCGATCGGTTACAAATGAATATATACAATATGTAAGAAAATTTGAATTTCGTTATCTATTTTTTGTGTGTTATATGCAAATATGTGTGCATTGAATATGAAAAATATTTTAAAGAATTGTAAATAAGAAGAACATTAAGATACTCAAAAATATTCAATTTGAATATTTAGTAATATTTAGCGGTATTTAATGTAATAATATGTACATAAATTAATTCTAATAAAAATGGAGTTACTTTTTTATATTTACATAAATATTAAGATGCTCTCATATATATTTCTGTTAACCGCAAAGAATTTAGTTCGAATATGATTTTATGTAAAATAAGAATGGCTATTAATCCACGAATGTTTTATAATAAATAGAACAAAAATTTATGGTAATTCTTTCTATATAAAATGTGAGATTACCATACCAACATACAAATGAACCATGCAACAAGCTCTAAATGTCGCGTAGCCAAACCGTACAAACATTTGCTATGCATTTGCTGCTACCAGATGTTTTTGTTAATGTTTCTATGAGTTTTTCAAGGCCCATATAACAATAATAACTGAAACGTTTGCGTACGAGGGATCGTTCACCCAGAAGGTTGTACAAAGATTGAGAGGTTAGCTCATATAGCTTATACACATAAATCGGTGGAATACATCGAGGACTCGAAAATTTAGACCTCCGTCAATGGAATACGAGATAACACTAAACGCTTCGCTGCGTTAGCATGCCCAAAATTGACGTTTGGAAAACTGTTTCGTATGCTCTGACACGGGAAACTGCATCTCTGCTTAGCAATCAAACATTTAAAGCTCATAAAGTGGAAATTGAAGAACACACCTCGGTGAGCCAATTACTTGAACAAATTGACAACATGCAGAAAGCACTGGAAAAATGTACAGCAGAGCGTAATAAAAATGATGGTGTGGTTAAATGCTTCAATTCCGGAAAAAGTGGCCACATTGCACGCAACTGTAACCAGTCCAATAATCAAGTTGAAATTGTTATTGGAAAGGCAGTCGTGCTACACAAATTTATAATTTCAGATATCGTCGACGAAGTCATAATTGGAGTAGACTTTCTGGCGAATCAAGGATTCAAAATTGACATGGAGATCAGGATTATGACCTATACATATATGGAAGTGCCACTTATGTTTGGATACGATAATAAGTACAATGTTACACGAGTAATAACTACAGAGAGACAGCAGATATCTATGGGCCAAAAAAGTTGTGGATTGTTGAGTCCACAAAAGAATCTATACCAAAGTTATAGACAAAACCGTGGTTATGACAAGACAAGATAAACGTGTTCCAGTAAGAGTATTTCTCGAGTGCAAGTTACCAATCAAACTTTTCAAAGGAGCTATATTAGGGCAGTGTCAAGAGATTGAGGCCGTGATAAATTGCAAAATAGGTCTTGAGGAAGATTCTATGGACGAAAACGACATATCGAGCGAAATTAACGCATGTACCGAAGCAACTTCTCTTTTTAGATACTTATCCATATTTGATAAAGACGATACCAAACCAGGAAGAACCAAAGTGGTGAAACATTTTATTAACACAGGTGATGCAAGACCAATACGCCAGACTCTTTAAAGCGTTCCTTTAGCAAAACGTGATGTTCTAAGCCAGATCATACGTGAAATGAGCGAAAGCGGCGAAATCGAACCATCAGCGAGTCCATGGAGCTCCTGTAGTACTTGTGAAGAAGTGTGTGTGTGGATTATAGAAGGTTGAATGATGTAACGAAGAAAGACAGTTATCCACTACCTAGAATCAATGACTTATCATGATCAAAATGGTTCTCAACACTTGATTTGAAAAGTGGTTATGGGCAAGTAGAGGTAAACGCAGAAGACAAAGAAAAGCCGGTTTTCAGCGTTGGAGATGATATATGGCAATTTATCGTAATGCCTTTTCGATTATGTAACGCTCCTGCTTCCTTTGAGAAACTTATGGACCAGGTATTAAAAGGATTACGCTGGAAGACCTGTTGGGTATACTAAGAGGATATCATCGTGTTAGGTAAAATCTTCGATGCACACCTTCAGAACTAGGAAGAGGTTTTCCAACGGATAACTAGCGCTGGTCTAAATCTGAGCTCGAGTAAGTGTACTTAATATCGACGCAGTGTTCCAAATTTTGCCAACGTAGATAGTAGCGTCCATGAACTCACGAAAAAGATCAGCGTAGAAAAAGAACAGGAAGTGGCTTTCCAAACTCTGAAGAAACGGTTAAGTACTGCGCCAATGTTAGCTTACCCTGTCCCAGGATCAGCGTTCATTTTGGATACGGATGCTAGTGGGTTTGCAGTAGGAGCCGTTATATCACAAGTCATTGATGGCCGTGAAAAAGTAGTTGCGTATTACAGCCAATCAATAAGCAAGTCAGAGAGAAATTATTGTGTAACTCGGAGAGCATTACTGGCGTTAGTAAAGTTCATCAAACATTTTCATAAGTACCTTTATGGCCAGCGATTTCGGGCATGGACAGATCATGTGGCATTAAAATGGCTTCTTCAATTTAGAAACCCAGAAGGACAGTTGGCACGGTGGATTGAGAGTTTCGACTTCTCTATAGAACATCGCAAAGGTTGTAGACATGGAAATGCGGATGCCATGTCCTGCCATCCCTGTAGTTTAGAGTGCTGATATTGCTCGACACTTGAGGTCAAAGAAGACATTATAGAAGACCGATTAATAACAACAACATCACACTGGGATCCGAAAATTTCAGCAAGAATATTCAAACTTTAAATGTTAATACATGAAATGAAGATGAACAAAGTCCAACGAGAGCAAAATTAGCTGCAGAAAGCTAAGTCGCAAAGTCTTATGAGGCGCAATGGAACACTTTAAAGTTGGTGTCTTGCTGGGCTGGAATGCTAAGATCGCAAAGCTTCCAAGCTCTGATGATTGTTCCGAAAGTAACTATTCCCGAAGTTCTTAACGAGCGGCACAACGGTCCAAGTAGAGGACACATGGAAATTACTAAAACTTTGGATAAATTAAAACAAAGATTTTATTGCGTTGGTTGTCGTCAACCAGTCACGGAGTGGATTACCAATTGTGCCGAGTGCATTGCAGCTAAAGGGCCGAGATCTAGGAGTGATAGCCAGATAAAGCTGTACAATTCTGGTGCGTCATTTAAGCGAATCGCCAAGGATGTAGCTGGACCATTTCCTAACACTAAATTATAATATTAATCAATACAAGTAAGTAATGTATATATATAACTCTTCTAGATATTATATCGGCTTAATAACAATATATAATTATGAATAATTTAATCATATCAGATAATAATAATATGTATCGTATTATAATTATACCCTGAACAGGGTATATTCATTTTACCACGAAGTTTGTAACACCCAGAAGGAAACGTCGGAGACCCTATAAAATATATACATAAATGATCAGTATGATGAGCTGAGTTGATTTAGCCATGTCCGTCTGTCTGTATATATACAAACTAGTCCCTCGGTTTTCAAGCTTTGCACCTGTCCTTTTCTCACTAAGAAGCTACTCATTTGTCGGAACGGCCGATATCGGATCACTATAGCATATAGCTGCCATACAAACTGAACAATCGGCATTAAGTACTTGTATGGGAAACTTTTTTATTTGACGAGGTGCTTCACGAAATTTGGCACGAGTTATTTTCTAAGGCAAAACTGTAATCTCCGAAGAAATTGTATAGATCGGATCACTATAGTATATAGCTGCCATACAAACTGAACGATCGAAATCAAGTGCTTGCATGAAAAATTTTATCATGTAACGAGATATGTTAAGGAAATTTGGCATGTGGTATTGCCTAAGACAAAAATGTAATCTTCGAAGATATTGTTCAGATCGGATCACTATAGTATATAGTTGCCATACAAACTGAACGATCGGAATCAAGTGGTTGCATGGTAAATTTTTTCATTTGACGAGATATGTTAAGGAAATTTGGCATGTGGTATTGCCTAAGACAAAAATGTAATCTCCGAAGAAATTGTTCAGATCGGATCACTATAGTATATAGTTGCCATACAAACTGAACGATCGGAATCAAGTGCTTGCATGGTAAATTTTATAATTTGACGAGATATGTTTACGAAATTTGGCATGGGTTATTGTCTAAGGCAAAAATGTAATCTGCGAAGAAATTGTTCAGATCGGACACTATAGTATATAGTTATGAATACAAACTGACCGATCTAAATGAATTTTTGTATGAAGGTAAGTAGAAAATAATGTTAAAAATATATAATATATATATAAGAGCAAGGAACAAAAATATTTTTTAGTTACCCATAAAATAAAAAAATCCGTAATTTTTCAAGATATATTCTTATTTATTAATAATAATAAAGAACTAACTATGTAAACATAATTATCCCGTTTTAAAACCCTAATTAACTGCTGGGTAGGTACAAAACAAAATATAGGTAGAAGAGTAGGTAGGAAATAAACATAGTTCCAAGAACAGTTAGAAAGTATAACCTAGGTAAAAAAGAGGTTTTGCACCTTTTGTAATTAACGCCTTAATATTCCTACGAGAGTTGCTTGATGACACCAAAAAGGGCAAAAGAGTTTACAGACGTGAAGTCGGGCTCAAAGATATTCAATAAATATAGCACAACACATCGGATCACTTCAGTTTACGCGAGCAGCTTAAACTTTCAACAACGCAAACAACTTTTAAAATCAACGAAAAAAATCCTTTTTTAAATAATACGCATTCTTTTAATTATATTAGTATTACTTCATTTATTAATATTTTAGTATATTTTTTATTTGTAGAATATATTTTTAATAATTATTGAAAATGCCAAGAGTATCTAGGCAATCGCAGGAACAAAGGCGTCGCAATGCTCTGAATTGAAGCCGACGACAATATAGTCAAAATTTGGAAAGTAATAGACAGAAAAATGCCGACTATATTGCAGAATTACGCAGCTCAAATTTGGAGTACCGCAATGAGGAGAGAACTCGTGACAGTTTTGCATATTCCACTAGACGACAGAACCAACTTCACAGAGCTACAGAACAGGAGCGTGACACAATCAGTCATTCAAATAGACGTTTGATTTCGGAATATAGAGCTGATGAGCAGGTACGCAACACCGCGGAACACTCAAACAGACGAATGAATCCTGAATATAGGACAGCGGAGCAGGAGCGTGAGACAGTAGGACATTCGAACAGGCACTTGAATCCGGAATATAGAGCTGAAGAG